CAGTGGCTAAGGAAGCTCCATCTGAAGCAGTACAAACTGTATCACCTGGGTGCTGATGCTGTAACAGTGTCTTAGTTAAGCCTCCAACATACTGATGACACAAAGCTGATAGGAACTGGCTTTTGTTCCCAACCCACCCACTCTTCTTTGAACACGTCACTGACCACGCACAAGAGGTTCAGTGCCCACTGGAAGAAACGCATAAACCTCACCCACTCTCAGGAGGCCGGAAGGGCCACTGTGCCAGCTATTCTCACCCTGCCCTGGGCCAACTGTGCACCAACACTCGGAAAATCACAGTGCTTGGGTAGTACAACCCAGGCTTGAACCTGCTCAAATATTTATCCGTTCATGTTAATAGGGGCAGATCGGAAACACAGTGCTTAGAATTGTTTGATTCGGTAGCTGCGTCAGCATGCGTAGGCTGCAAAGGAACAGGTAACAGGGTTGCTCACACCTGAAGAAGGCTCCACAGCCGAAATGTTTTTCCTTTCTTTTCCTTTCAGCATGGTTTAGAATTGTCTTACAGAGCCCTGGGTTAAATTCCTGTGGTACTACCTGTGTGGTATTTTATGTTCTCCCTCGCTTAAGTGTGTTCACTTGGAGCACCCGGAGGAAACCTAATTTTCTCCCACAGTCCAAAGACATACTGGTGGGTTAGTTGGCTTCTGTAAAAAAATGGTGATGGTGTGAGTTTGAGCATGTCTGTGTGTGTCTGCCCTGCGATGGGCTGGAGTCCCATCCAGGGCGTAACCTGTCTTGTATCTTGTCGGGATAGTCTCCAGTGCCCCTGTGATCCTGAATTACATAAAGCAATTAGAAAATGGACTGGATGAATTTTAATATTGTTTTTTTTTGTCTTTCTTATTGTAACTGCACTACATAGCCAGATAAAGTAACAGTACTGCAATAGCTGTCCAGTCAGAAGGTGTTGGAAGCAGGGCCAACACTGCCTGATGTAATGGTTAAGGAATATTACCACTAGTTGACACAATAAGGTCCTAAACAGAAACTTTTAAGTGGCGCATCTGCTTGACTCTCCCATGTAGACACCAAGAAACAAAAGACAGGACAAATCATCTGTTTGTCATTTTTCCTTTACCAAGGTGTTGCTTGTTACAATTCAGTAGAAATAAAAAATAAAAACTAAACAATAAATACATTGCTAATTATCTTCACTAATTTCCTATTTCACTCCTTTCATATTTTTTCAATTTCAAGTATTATTAAGTATTTCATTTTTTGTTAATTTATTAGTTATTGATTTCAAGCAGGAATATCTGCTAGATATTAAAAACTAGATATATAATTTGGTGTCCATTTTTAATCTTACACTTCACATAATGTTAACAAAGTAAAAAAGGCCAAGATTTTTGTTAAATTATTCTTTCCCACATATTTTAGCTTTAGATATTTCAAACGATACTTGTAAACTGTTGCACAAGAGTGTAAACTAATGAAAGACAAAAAAACAAAGAAATCACAACAGATCAAGAATTGCCATCTTAACTGTTCCAACATGTAACATTTCTAAGATGTAACTGCATCTAAAAGGCCACATAGTTCAACTTTTTGCACAAAGTCTAATTTATAATTTCACACTTTCATTTGCAGTCTTGCACTGGTGTGGATGGAAGTTCATTTCCTTACTGGGTTGACTCCTGGTTTTAGAATTTGAATGCTTTCTAAACCTACACATAGTGTAAGCCCATGACTCTTAAATCCAAAAAGCTTATTCCATACAGCCAATAATAAATATAGATGGACAAATTTAAAAGCCAATAGATAGGAATGTTTGCATTATTCAATACACAACACTTGCAAACCCTTTAGCCTAACTGAAGACTAAATTATGAATTACTCAAAAATAGCAACCACTGGCTGAAATTTGAGATTTCAAAGAACGATGGATCTTTCATTTAGTTTTTAAGCTCTCTTTTCCCATTATGAAGCTACTCATACAGAATCATATTTAAGAGCTGAATCTTTTGTTTGTATGCAACATGCAAAACAAGCTGCAGGATTTGCAATGCTTTTAAATTTAGCATTAGGTGGGAGTAATGAATGTAACCATCTCTGTTCAAATTCACTGGCTCTTCTCTGCATACTTGACTGACAGTAAGTGCATTTTCTCAACTCCAACTACAACAAAGTAATAGGAGCAGCATTCACTTTCTAGATGGCTTGTCTTTTCCTTATGTTAAAACCCCAGCCAATAGTACCATCTTCTTTTGATAATTTTTCAGGCTCATTGAATGTATCTGCATCAACAAGTCTGCATTGGGAGTGCCCACAGTTAAACTGTAAATCGAAATTTGGAAAGGTCAAAATTTGCGGTCTGACATGGATTTTTCCATGAGAACATTTTTTTTAATTATTTTAGAACATGGAGCCAGCAAGTATACAAAAACATTTCAAAATAAAAGTGAAATCATTCACCACTGGCAGTCATAGCAAAACAACATCTTTCTTAAATGACAGCAACCAAATGCGATTATCTTTATATTTCTCAATCATGGACAATCAGATTGCAATTCAGGTTGCACTGCAACAGTAACATTACGTTCCCATTTTTGATTTTTTTAAAAACTTTAACCACTGATATTTGAACACCTTTGACATTTTAAGCGGTAGAGAATAATGCAACACAAAAAAGATTTTTTTTACATCCTTTGTAGAAATATACAGGTATGGGTCTTTTCACTGTTTTGCTCACATGTGAAGTTAAATCTTCAAGTAGGTAATTTCCAAGTAGGAAAAAATAAAAAAGGCCTTCATCAGGGGAACTCCGGCTGCAATAAAACTAGCCACCAAGCGACAAAAAAGTCTTGTAATTAGCACCAAGCTATGGAACTTCCACATATTTTGTTTTCTAATTGCCCAAATGTTAAAACTTAATATCTTTATTCGACACATTACTATTACTATTATTTCTATTAAAGCTGTAACAGGGAATGAACATGTGCTAATGGAATCTTCCTGGACCTTTTAGAATGAGTTGCAAATTTCAATAGGTTTTCTATTGGTGAAATAATGAAGAATTGAACTGAACCTAATAGACCAGGTTTTGTTAATGGTCTTTCAACATATTGAACCATTTGACAATAATGTAGAAAACAAGTACGAGACAGAACTTTCAAACAGCTGATGTTGCTGTGTCTAGTCCTCAACAATAAATTTAATTTATTCTTGTTTTGTACTACAAGCAGTAACATACCAAGCATCAAAATAAATTTAACACATAGAACTGCAACAAATTTGCATTGACATGAGATTGGTACTTTCACTAAGCTTATTACAATTTGTCATCATCAGGGGTGCTCAACAGGGGACTAATGTGAATTTCACCACTTTTAACAGTACCAACAGAGGCCACGCAAGCAGTACATCTGCAGTGCATGCCTTGTACCAGCTTATAAATTCTGACTTTCGGGATTCAGTACCCCTCTTTTCTGGAGCCTCAATAAGCATGGGCCTGTTTACTGGTCTCTGAGCCCTAAGGTCTAGGTATAGGTCTACTGCTCTAGGTGATACTTGTAATCCTATCTGACTCCACATTAAATGAATATCAAAACTGGTGAACAGGTAAAAAACTGTTATATTCTCAACTTGAAAGAAAGCCATTGTACATGTGAAGAAATGCGGCGCCCTGCTGGACTGCCGCCATATAAATGTGAGCCAGCAGAAAGGGCAGCAATTAAAGTTCCAGGACTAGACTAATCTGAATCCCTCAAAGCTGAGTTTTGAAGCAACTAGGAGCTCTTGACCAGACCCCAACCAATCAGATTTGGACCACCCCATCAATTGATCTGTTGCAGACAATTTCTCATTCTATACATATGTGTCACACTCACTGCCCTTTAACAGGGTGACCTCCACAAAATCTTGATTTATCACAAAAGCAAATCTGGCGCCCATTCTGGTGTCTCCCCCTGAGATGTCGCTCACACCACCTCATTCACCATCACTTTGATAAACAGTGTTGATCACTGCACCTCAGACCTGCTCATATTTACTTTTTGTTCTGCTTCTCACAACTGAACTGCCAATACGGGATTTGCTGAGACATGGTTTTTCTGATGCAGTAGAACTGGCTGGGCAACTTCAATCACAAAGACAAAGCATGATGATGAGTCAAACCTTGGTGATCACGAGGTGTCCTGATCTTGGTTTTGTGATTTTGATTGATCTCAAAAGTCAGCCATCAATGTTCAATCAATTTAAATGACAACATCTGAACATTCATTTTTTACGAAAAACATACATGAATAAATAGTGCCAAGTACTTTGATGTGCCATATATGTATGTACATAACACCTAGTTCTTATTCATGGGAGATTCATTCATTAAATGTCCGCAGATAAAAAAAAACATTTGTACTGGGATAAAGCTCTCCTATACCACATATACAGTATATACACCATGTGTATACCCAACAGATTGTGTAAAATCATCAGAAATATGTCAAACAAAAAAAGAACATGGCATAAAAATGAATATAGTAATGCACATTTTTCTGTTATAAAAAGGAATATTATGAAAAACAGCATGAAGCACATTCCAACGTTAATGAGCACAGCAATATTCTGGAATAAGTGCTGAAGCGGATGGGACGCATTGTGTAACAGATCTAAAATGCACAGTCTGAGAAGTTTCAGGCTTCTGAGAATTTCCTAGAAGTTTCAAGAACACTTCCCAGGCCAGGGTTGTCCTGACACTTCGACTAAAGACAACCACTGACGGAGAAATCATAATCCAGAGGAAGAGGTGTGTATATAGCTTTAAGAATGTGAAAAAGTAAATCACTATAGGTTGAAAAGATGATCATGAGTCCTCGTGAAACAAAACTCACCTGCAATACTTGTATCAATAAATGTGGGGGAGAAAACATGAATTTGTTCATAAAATTAAGACAATCACCTTCTAATACTTGCACTTTTTTTTAAAGAGCACGTGATCTTTTCAATGGATGAATGCTGATGTTTGTCATGCTGCTTACCTTGAAGGTAGTTGCACTTCATGTCAGGTGGTACAGCAAGAAAGGATCCCACAATACTAGACCTGCACTGCAGCAGCTTCTCAATTAGTTCAAACCCGTCAGGTCCCAGCAGCTCAAACAGCTGAAAAATAGGGTACATTGCAGGCTTAACTTCCCGATTCAAGTGTCAGAGCCTTAATACACAGATTATTGAGCTTTGACAGCTTTTGCTTTTCTAAGAGCCTACATGGTCTATTCAGAATTTGAAAACACACTAATTAAAGTCAGAGAAAGACTGCAGTCATCAAGGACAATCTTTATGGAGATGCACAATGAAGTTAGTCATCATTACAATAACAAGATATGCTGAAACACTAGAAATAACGCTTAGTAACAGTTTAAAATACTCAGAACATTGCTGACTGTTGATCAAATAAATTCAGACTTTCCAGGCACAATTATGCTTTTTTCATGAAAGACATTTTGCTAAACATTTACATATTGTACAGTATAGATGTTCCCTTGGGTAGTTTTAATTAAGTAACATGGAATTCATTTATTTATCAGCCTGTTAAATTCAAAATGCATTGCAAAGTAAGTCAGAGTCTATCATTTTCTATACAAATGGGTTGGATTAAAGGCAAATCTTTAATTGTCATTTGATTTTTTTTTCAGATTAAATCTCATTAAGCCAAAATCATCATACCACTGGCTCATTTAATTCTCAATGCATAAAATATTATTCTGACACAATACAGATCATATATGCAGCACACCAACTGTAATCAGCATTTTTCATAAGCTAACTGCAGCAAAATCCTTCATGTGTTGAATTGTGTCATTTTGGGAGGCAAAAAGACTTTGCTCTTTGGCATTTCCTGTCCTCAAACATTTTAACAAGCAGTGCATCTGAATAGTCGATGAAAATACATGCACACTTCCATTGCAGACTTACTTTGATGTCGCCAGGTTATAGTTTTGAATCTTTTCATGTTTCATAAAGAGCTATTTGTTATTTTTCTCTGTTCTGCTTTTCTGTTCATTCTGTCCTGTTATTTTCACAAAAATGAATTATTGTACCACAATAAGCTTTTTTGTTAAGGCCATTTTTAATTAAACTTTTTAAGGTGCTTTTCAGCGGACTTTATTACAAGGTTAAAAATGTTTAGGAATGGTTGTTTTCATTTAACAGTTTGCAAGGCTTTTAGGATATAATAGTTGCCAGTGGGGAACAAAGAAAAATCCAAAAATGTACAATACAAAGGTTATCATACTATTTTCAATTACCAATATAAAACACAATAATATGGGTGTATCAGCATTTACAAGCTTAGATACAGTGGTTTTCTATGCAAGTTATTCTCATATCTGCAGTATATAAGGAGCTCAGTTCATAAACCCAAGTGGGAAGGGAAAGAAAAGAGAACTGTTTCTATTTCTTTATCTTATGTGTACAGGTTTCCTTCACATACTTTTCTAGAAAGTTTGCCTAAAAGCTCTTATTGGTTTAAAAAAAACGATAGATTTATTACAAAAACGTAGGATTAGTAAAGATGTTTGTGAGCGGAGACAGCACCCCTGAGAAATGCTTAAATGAACTAAACCAGGGACAACTAATGACATTCAATTCTGTTTTTACTGTCAGAAACCTAGTGGTCTTTTTTCATTTACCATACCTGTTTACCATATACTTCATATACTGTACACTCTGCAACAAACAAAGTTTAAAGTCCTTAAGGAATATATAAACACCATGTGTTTATTATTATTTTTGTGTGATGGTGTTATGATACATGGATAAAAACTGTGGGCCTTCCATAGAGGAAATGCCATCTACAGAGTATTACAAATTAATATGTAATAAGATTTATTCTTTGCAGTTAGCTATAAGTGCCTCAAATAAAGAGAATATTAATAGTACCCTATGGGTAAATTCCAGAATGATTAAATAACAGTTTATAAATTATAGTCCTGTAATGTGCATCTGTTAACATTATTAAATTACCTTCTCAGTCCCAGTGGGGTAAATGAAGAATAATGGTGGAAATGTGATTATGCTTCAAATGTCATCTTTCCTAAATATCATCCAATATGTACAGTATATAATGCATTTTTCCAAGTTTAATGGTAAGAAATAAAATACAAGTTCAAAGTTTATTGTTGACTTTCTAGTCCCAGATTCTAAGATAGTGTAGTATGCTCTATAAAAAGGGCATCTTAAATCTGAAGATGTCAGTAGCAAAGGTTTGCTACCAAATGTCAAGTACGTGGAAAACATTAAAGCAGAATGTATTTAAGATACTGAAACTCTTATACTTTTGGTAGGTGAAGTCAGCTACTGTTCAAAACCTTCATCAATAAACATTGTTCTTTAACACGGAAATTCTATTTGTTACAAACCTGATACTGTGAATGAATATAAGCATTGAGATTTCTCCAAAAACTGCACCTACTGTATGACAAAAATACTACTTAACCTTCCTCTGAACCATAATTTTCTCAAACGAATTTAATATCCTCAAGTTCAGTCAGGTTTAATGATGGTTGTGTTTGAAATCAACTGCATTAACACTGTGATTAAATATAATACAATCTACTTTTTTTAATTAAATTAATACTGCAAAACACAAACTGGTCTTCGTACTGCATGACTTTTGATTTAACATTATATTATTAATATGCAACTGCTAAGTTAGATTTCATTACTTTAAAGAGAAAAATCTTGAGCTTTTCAAGAAATAATTATGAACAACCATCCAATAATAACTGTGAAATTGTTACTGTATCAGTCTCATAAACACACGCACCACGTGATTCTTAATCCAATAATGGTGCCCCAGCCCCTGTTTGATGAGGATGAAATAGATCCAGTTTGAGAGGGGCCTCTCTTTGCATGAAAGCAGTGAATAAAAAATTCACCACAGGACATGTAAAAACACTTCCTGCAAATTTCAACTTCAGTAACAAAACTTCTACTGTTTTTATTCAAGTAGCATCAGAATCTGTAAGCATTTTCATCAAACACCTAATACACAATTGGAAAGACATATGAGTTTTAAGTATGCCATATAAATTAATTGTTTTATTTAGCAGACATCTCTATTTTACAAAAGGAATGCAGTGACTCAATGATTGTTTAGAGCCTTGAAGGTGGACAGAAATTAACAATGAAAACTAAGAGCCACACATCTGACCTCTGAGCTTGATCCTGATAGATCTCAGATTGTAATCAAGGGCACAGCGAGTATTTCGACAGAAGATCTCCACACTTAATTAAGTTCCACCAAAAGCCATTTACAGGGACAAGGACAAAGACTTCTTCCTCCTGGACCAGAATATCTCAAACTAATGCCTCAGTCTGGCAACACATTGCACAGAGCCATTTAGACAAGACATTAAATGTGCCTTTGACTATGTAAATAAGTATTAAAATACCAACTTAATGGTTAATAAAATCCATCATCCATCAACCTTAATTTCATCTATCTTACAGTATCGTCAGATGATGTCTGCTTTGCTTCTTTTCCTGTTATGGTATTCAATTACTTTCCACGGTCTATCTGGTCTGTAGATCCTGGTACAGAATTACAGCTGCATTTCACCCCAATGACTGCAGCTCACCGTTTGACTTTGATTTAGCTCAGGACGTACAGAATAGTTACACTCTTTGAGAATCTTTAATTGTGACAGAAAGGAACATAAATATACGTTCTTTTGTCATTGTATAATCTTAATCTTTTGCTTAAAATCTAACACGTAGAAAATGGGCTGGACTAATCTGAAAGCATTCCATCCAAAGAAAGGAATATCCATTACTTCTGATCACAACTCAATAATTAGATTTTTTCCTTCAGTTTGAGAATTTTTACAACTAAATTTCCCAGGAAGGGCTGACAGACCAAAGGTTCAAAGTGAAAATAATACAAGATACAGTAGTGTTACAAATAGGAAATTAAGAAAATAGAGAATTGATTAAATAGGCTGAATGGATTAATCAATAATTAAAATTAATTAATGATCAAAATAGTAAAGATAATCAAACAATATACCCAAGCTTGGTATAATTAGAGGCACTTGAGCTCTTGGTCTCTGGTGCAGCTTTGGTGAAAAGAGTAATAAATCAGGCACACTGGGTCAAACAAGTATTTATTAATGACAATAATACTCACTAAAAAAACAACACAAAATGCATCATACTCTATGTGCAAACACGGTGTCCTGGAGGCCTATATCCTGACCAATCACAAAACCCAGACTGGAAACAAGTATTCATTTCCTATAGAACACCTACAGAGGCCAACAAGAGAGATAAACCTGCCTCCTAAACTTAACGGAATATGGCCTCAATTTCTCTCTATAAAGCTGGATGCTACAAAGTGAATAAGAAACCTATCTTCCTATTCTAAAAATGCATTTACTAACCCAGAGAGACCATTTTTAACCTAGGGATTCTCTACAGAGGAAGTCAGAGTAAACAAAAGACTTCTTAGCAAGGTTCAAATACTTAACTAGAATCTGATCTTTAAGGAAGACATGAACAAGGACCTCTCGCCTGGCACACACCTTGGCTTCTGCTTGTGTTTTTCTCTCCATCCCTTGTCCTTCCTTCACAGTCTGTCTTTTTATGCTGTTTTTTCTGGACTGATGATTACTCTTAATGATTTACCAAAAGCTTAATTAACCAAGGTAAACCAGACGATTCCTTTGATCAATGTGTCACAGACCCAGTGCAACTTGGTAAACGTTTCAGTTCCTTTCTTGCTCTGCAGCTCCAGAGAATAGCACATGTTGACCACTGACTATACATGTTTAAGACGCCTCAATAACCACTTCCAATAACTGTAACAATACCAAAATCAATACATTTTGAGAAATGTTTAATTATGACCTTAACTTTATATTGACTCAGCTGCAAATACACCAAATAATACTAAACAAAAGAATCAAATTATATAGGTTATAATGCAACCACATGAACATAAAGACAGGCACATTTTAGTTAATTTACATACAGGTGCATATTAATAAACCAAAAGATTTGAGCATTATTACAAGACAAAAGTCTTACATTTTGGTAAATCATGCTAATACTTATAATAACCAGTAAGAGAGCACACTTTAACACATTTGAGTGTTGTGAATGGAATTAAATTTAGCTAAATCAGTTTTTTTATCTTTAGACTAGTCTGCTTCTGGTGTAAAATGATTATGGAATGCAATAAATGCCGTATTTGAGTGCTACATGATTTTTTTTTACAAAAACCTCATTATAGCTACTTTCAGCATGAAAAAATACCTGGTGGATTTCAACTATAGAAATGATTACTTACTGTTATAGGAAACGTCACAATGTTGTTTTGCACTAACAACTGGTAAGTATTTCAAAAACAAATATGAGTTTAAAAACAGTCTTGCTCTATGCTGCATTTCTTAAACCACAGAGTACAAAAACCAGTCCGTTTTTTTTCATAAATTATATTAATTAAGTGGTAAAGCAACCTTGGTTTTAGCCATGTTAAATTGGGCCTAAGTGAAACGCATACCTGTAAATAATGGATATATGTTTGTATGATTGCCATTAATCTGATTCTCCTGTACTAGAACTTGGCAGTTCTTATTGGTATTTTTTTATCTTAACAAGAAAAAAGGACCACATATATTTGTTTCAGGTCTTTTGCAATTCTAATGAGCAAACCATTTTCCTACCTGAGTTTCTGCCACATATATTATGCGATTCAATGTCTGGACACTGAAAAGCTATGCAATTGTACTTTTCATCTGAACATGTTTTGAAAAAAATAATATATTTTCCATGATTCTTAAAGACCATGAATCGAATAAACTAAAATTACCATGACAAGCTCAACAGGAAGTAGGGTTCATTCTTTCCAGGTTTTGGCAATGATATGCTTAAATCAATATCTTTCCTTCCTGATTCTTCCAATGACATGACATACAAAATGTATGTAAACAGTTGATTTTTAATCTAAGAATATAACTATTAAAACATTTGTTCTTAGCCCACATCAATTTATTATTTTATTACATTTACCTAATGCAGCCGCAAGCACATGCCAAGTGAGGACTGCGTTACTAACTTATTTTAAAAATTCTTAGTTCCAAGCACAGCTCTGTTATGACTATTAGATTTGCAGAAATACCTGATTTTTTTCCCCCACCATTAAATTCTGCCAAACGTCAAGGGGTTCAGCTTGACAGTTTGCACTACAGCCGCAAACTTCTGGGTTCACTTCTGAACACCGCCCGCGTGTAATTTGTAAGTTCTCAGCAGGTTCAGAGAGGTTATTGATAGGCTTCCCACTTCCCACCTTAAAGACTTGTAGATTAGGTCTGACCACTTATTCCAGATTGCACCCTAGAGTTTATTCCCTGTTCCATGCATCCAGCAGTAGAGGAAGAAAACAGCTCCCACGACAGCTTTCAAACTCAGGGGGCCAGGGGAAAAGTTTCAGGAAAAATCAAGAATTTATCAAGCTTAATTTTCTTTAATGCACCAAGATCTCTACTAAAGAGGTCTGTATTCCAAGGGTGTTTGGTCTCCCTACATATCAACAGTGTTAACAGATATGCAGAGCAATTACTGCTTGATCCCAAGATCCAAACATCCCTGGCACTTAAACCCACTATCCCTGTATCCTCTGAGTAAAGACTATAAGCAGCATGAGTCACTGAAGCCAAAAATAATCTGGAGAAAGACAAGTGTAAAAAAAATATATATTATTTGCACAAATCTTGCAGTGGTTGTCAAAATACAGGAGCAGCAAGAGCGAGTTAGAAGCACGTGGGCAATGCAATCTGAACATACCTACTTTTCCATTTCATGCAGACATGTCCTTTCAAGGACTTTACATTGTGATTCAGCTTCAGTTTCGACAAGACCTCTACCATTGCATTTCTATAAAATAATACAATATACACTGCTCTCTCAAAGGTCAGGGTTACAGCATATTGGTAAAGCAGTGACAGTTAGCGTTCAGTAATGCATTTCTTTAAGTCACACACAACAGAGAGCAGAGACAAACAAAGGTTTTAAAGAAGTATAACTGCAGACACCATCTGCCTTTTTCCCTCGAATTAAACTACCACTTAAATCAACGTTTATGGATAATCATTAAAAAACTGTTTTATTTTAGTGATAACAACTGACTAAGGTCAGGAACCTTAGAGCCTAATGGATTTTTTGGGGTCTTGAACAGACATTCAGGGAAACAGATTTGGGGTTTCCACTGTCTTGCCATTAGATCCATGTTATGTTTCACAGCTACTTAAGCCAATACAAATTGCTTAATACTATATTTCTCAATATTTAGATGTAATTACTTTGATTAAATATACAGACAGGAATTAAATGTAATTCAATTCTTATGTAGATAGAGTGTATAAAAGGAGCCAGTTATAAAACCTGAAATGGATAAAACTAGTCTTTGACTCCCTACAGTTAAATCATCAGCTATCATTAATTTTCTAAACTATACAAAAGACACAAGGTCAAGACTGATCACATGTGACCCAGGAGGAAGATTTAATCCATCTTCCTAGTGTGAATTAAAACTTCCATGTTCTTAAAAACAACAAAGAACTTAATATTAATAAGATTTGTTTGTTGAAAGTGTGTAAATTATTCAGATAGAGCTTTTAATTTTGAAGGTTTCATTACACAGATAGGGAATAACATGTAGAAAAGCAAATATTTTAGGTTTTTTTACATTTCCAAGAAATATTTGTGATAGGTTACTGTTCATGAGTAAGAATATTTGGAGAAACTATACTAAAAATCTGAAGTAAATCTTATGTTTATTACGATTCTGCTCCACATGAACAGCTCTTACAGCAAATTTACAACAGTTTTGATTTGAAAACTTTGAAAACAAAAGTATCCAACAGTCTACGATATGCTATTCAACAAAATGTGATTCAAATACAGTTCCTTGTTATGTTGTTTCAGTATTTTTTTTAGTCAATTGAAAATGTATTGATTTTCTACAAATTAAATGTAAGACTAGAAAAGAAATTGCAGAAACACTAACAATAAAATTTACTTCTTACAACATGATATTTTAAATACTAAAAAGTAACACTTAAATCCTTGTAAACGTACCTCATTTTGAAGTTCATCATCAGTCTTCTGTGATGCCAGCATCTCAAACAAGGTGGTACAAACGTCTTCAGCACTGGATGATCCCATACTTCCATGTAACAAATACTTCTCGACCTCTCGATGTAAAAAAGAGCTGTCTATGTTTTGAGTGAATTCGACACTTGCATTCTCAACAGTGCCATTTCTCAAGTTTTCTTGCTGATTGTTTAGAAATTTGTCATAGTTTAAACTAAATTCCTTTGAAAGCTTTTCATCGTCATTTTTTATTGGCAAATATTCTAAGTAATCTAATGTATAGGTGTCAAACGAAAACATTATATTTTTGCCAAAGGGAACGTGGTCCTTAAAATGGCTTGAGCTGTGAACTTTGATAAATGTTTCTATCTGCGTCTCATCAAAGAGAGACACAACTCTATTCACTGCAGCACAGGCAGCATCGACAGACGAAGAAGGGAAGGGTCCAAACATCTGTCTGATGGCTTTAGTCTCCTCATGGCCAACTTGGTCCTTATTGCAAAACAATTTGAAGATGAAAACTGCAGCACTTTCAATCACTTCCTGTCCAAACTCACTCCCAACTGTGAAAAAGAAAAAAAAATGTTTAGAACATTTTTGCAAAACAGTTTACAATGCAACATTCGCAGGGATCAGATTCGGGTCCATCAGAGCTTCATTCAATGAAGAGATAGGTATAGGATAGTTTTTACTTAAATAATTGCAATAGTTTAATTTTACATGAAAACTGCTGGTGCATTTATTTAGTACAACAACGTGTTTAAATATCAAGGGATGTTTTAAAGCACAAAAGATTTTAAGTGAGAGTTATTTCTGAAAGTCAGTGAAACTATTCATAAGGCTGGTGATTGCTCTACCACAATCATAAGTATCATTACAGTGCAGTCAATGCCAGATGAGTGGACCATCATATTCCTGGCTTAGTCACAGCTTTGCCTCAGGTGAATAAGATATATATGTAGCATGTATGCTACTTACTAATAATAGCCTATTTGAGAATATGGACAAATTTTAACTGTGTAGAGATCCACTTGCGATGACAGGATTAATATTTCTTTAGCCTGTCAAATATCCAACTATTTCTAACTGCTTTATCCAATACAGGATAACAGAAGAGTAGGAGCCTATACCATCAAGCAACAGGCATAAGGCAGTATACACCAGTCCATCACGGGGCACATAACGACTCAAACAAACACATAGTCACACTAGAGACAATTTTCCCAGAAGTCAATTAAGATGCCTTTGGACTGTGGGGAAAAAAACAGAGCCCAAAAGAAACCCATATAAAGACAGGGAGCGCATACAAATACCAAGCAGATAGCAACTCAGTAGTTGAATCCAAGTCCCCAATGCTGTGAGGCACAATACTGCACCAGGGTGCCTATCAGATATTCCATGGGAAACTAAATTGTTTAAATTTAAGATATCACTTCAATAGAAAAAGCTAAGCTAAGGAACTTAAAAAGAAAGACCCTTAAAAAAAATAATATTTTGCAAACACAAGGTTTGAAAAAAGGAAAAATAAATGTGGAAAGTCATAAATCACTGGCAAGTTACTCATATTGTTTTATTTTAAGTTCTTTTATTTTATTTTTACAATAGCTATTGTACCTTACTTTGTGCTATCCCTTAAGAGAAAACCAAAGAAACATATCATACAAGATATTATATTTCTCTCTCATTTATTTTAGTATGACATTGTATATATGACTGTTGTGGCATGGAGGCTAGTGTAAAAGAAGAAAACCAATAATATAGTTAATATAATAAAGTTGAGAAGTGGTGAAGGGTTAAAACGTTAAGTTAGATGGCACATACTTTGACACCTTTCCAAACAGGATGCCCTCCTTAATCCAAATGCTAACTCAGTCCTTCTATTGGGGTCTCTCATTTTCCTTTGTAAATTTATTAATTATTCTTAATACTCACTTTGATCTTGCTTCGCAGATTGAAAAAGCAGTATTACTTAGTTCATATCATTCCTTTCTTACAAAAATGTGTAGCAAATTACTATTACTCTTTTACTTGACTGAATTGGTCTGGCTAGACTTAACCATCAGTGGGCTAACTTTATAGTCATTTAAAATAATACAGTATGTCCTAAAATGCATGTTAGTGTAATTTCAAAGTGCATTACAAACTGAAGCTGTTTAATGTAAAATGGAGACAGTATTTCAGACTTTTTAATTACTTTAAATCCTTTTAATCGGTTCTGTTTTTTTGTCTTTAGTCCTCCAGTTACTTTTGCAGTTCTTCTTTAATTGGGCAATTATCCTTGCTGCTCGTTATTCTTTTTTTTTGGAGGGGGGTCAAATTTGCAGAAAAATAAATGAGAAGGTATTACATTTGTGCAAAAACAACTCTGTATGGTTCTGTACATCATCTAAACCTAATGAGCAAAGCAAAGGCTTTGATGACCTGCAGCAAAAGAGGCAATCGTTGCGTTAAAAAGTCGATCTTTTCTAAAGTCAATGTTTGAAGGAACAGAGTGATGCAGGATACGTTCTTTTACATTAGCCATACATACATTTTAAGTAGTTGATGTTCACCTAAATGAGAATTGTTTAATCTCTAAGAAATTATACCTACCGCTACACCTGCAGCTCAAATGATCCTTTGATTTATAATATGATTAGAGGGGTTCTGCTCAAGCCCAGAACTGTGATACTCCATGGGTTTTATAAAAGCTGGTCCAGTTAAAACAAAATTTAAAATTCTTTTTATGCATTCCATGTAAGGATGGAGTACACCCTACTTCAGTAAAAGTATCTAATATAAATACAAAAATCAATAAGAATATGATATCTGAATAACTTCAAACTGTTTTGCACTTGTATTTACACATTGCCCTAATGCACTGATTTTTTAACTTTGTGTTCACATTACATTCCTTTTGAAACGCCTTCTTTCATATGTGGTCAATCTTAATCCAAACCTTGTGTTAACCAAACCTGAAGTAGATGAATGCCTGCTCCTGTCCCAGCTGACATCCCAACCAAACTAATTTATGATTATTACTGAATGCTTTCAAGAGACACCAAAGGATCATAGTATCCAGTCATACATTAACAAGAAAGGTTATCTTAGATCACACTTAGCAGTCTTGTCAGTTAAGCTTTATGCCAGGGCAGGATGATGCTGGTGCAGTGGTTAGCATTGCTGAGTTTGTATTTTCTCCTTGTTCACATGGGTTTCCTCCGGGTACTCTGGTTACAAAAACATACTGAGAGGCTAACTGACTTTTGGGGAAAATCTGCCCTAGTTGTCAGTGTGTGCCCTGCGAATGACTAGCGTCCCATCCGGGGTGTACCCTGCCTTGCGCCCGTTGCTTGCCGGAATATGCTCTAGCTCCCCCGAGACTCATCACTCATCAGCAGAAGGAATACAGAATGGAAACTGAGAAACATCCACCAAGATTTCTGTTACCCTCTGTTCGCCAAAGTTGCAGTATCCTGCATTAAATAAAACCTAGGCAATTCGGTGTCAAGAAAAGGAGAAATGAATGTTAGATTTTATAATCAGAATGATATATATATATAAAAATGTTAGAGTAAATGTTTTTAAGAATGAGTGGGATTGTTATTTGTAGGAGTTTAGGGAGTCTATGGGTCTACCCTCCCGCTGTAATACCAGGGAAGATGTGATACAAGATCTGCAAAAAAAAGTTGTAATGTGACAGCACAGCAAGGGTGACAGGGGAGCATCCCTTCCAATGTTTAGAGTTGGAATTACAACCTGTTCATCAGCAATGCTGCATAAGAATGACTGTACAAAAGCCACATCCACTTATCAGAGGCTGGGCCAAAATCAAAGATTCCAGAGCAGTGCTTCTCTACTCTGGTCCTGTTAGACAACTGTCTCTTCTGGTTCTTGCTGTAGACAAGTTCTTAATCGAAAGTAAATTGATTTCAAGTTTCTATTGTAAGTGTGTTTTTTAAGTCTTCTCTCAGCTCGTAAAAACACGTATTGGGTTTGTAATTGGTATCAGCCCTCTATCAATTCCTGAGTTTCAGCATTTCCCTTATTCAGGTGTTAGCTGAAATACAATCAAATGGACTTAAGCAGGAGGAAAAACAAACACTCATTATGGGAGTGTGTGATACATTATCATTCCCACCACTTCTCATTGATCACCTATTTAAAAAGTCTTTCTTAGTCAGAAATAAGGGAACAAATTCTTAATTAGCAAGTTGTGGACAGACTGCAGATAGTTATACAGTACATGTTGAAGTTGTTGGAAATAATTTACTTTGACTAAAGAATCTTTAAAATCAAGGACTTAGTGCAGAAAGAAATTGAAATATGTAAGCAGATCAATTAGCTGATGTGTGGTGAGCATTCTGGCGCACTATGGCTGCCGTTGCATCATCCAGGTGGATGCTTCACATTGGTGGTGGTGGAGGGGAGTCCCCATTTCCTGTAAAGCGCTTTGAGTGGAGTGTCCAGAAAAGCTCTACATAAGTGTAAGCAATTATTATTATTATTAATAAAACTTAAGGCATAAATTAGCTCCATTGCTTAAGGGCCCAGATGGAACAAAAGCCAGCAGATACAGTGATCTCTCAGGACCATTATTATGATGATTATGATCACAGTATAATATTATAAGAATTTTAAAGTGACACATTATTACATTTTTAACTCATTTTGCTTCATGTTGCCTTCTTCCCTATTTCATCAGGGATGTGAATAAATCCGGAGGACACTATAGGTCAGTAGCTTGTACATTCAAAGACTTTAACTTCAAGATGTGGATTGTTCTGTATCTTATTATTTTTTTTATCCTTATCAAATACATAAAACATAAATATGCAGAAAAGCTCCACTTTATCAATATTCCAAGCATCTTCATCCACATAATTCCTTCTTCAAAAGGAAGGGGATTTAAATTTAAATTAGATGAAGTTAAGTGTCTTCACTATTTTAGCCTGATTCAGGATTGCCAGCTATTTTCTTTTCATTGACCCTCAATCTGGAATCAGCAAGTCAGCTCTGCTTATTAAGCACCAAAGAAAAGCAGCACTCATCATCTGAAACAAGCAGCCGCATGCCATCCACTTCATCATACTGCAAGTGCACTGCAACTTCATTCACATCTCACTGCAATGGCAACGGCAGACCTGCACAGATGCCTCTCAGTGAAAGCACTGCAAGCTCACAGGCACCAGCAAGAACCAGAGACCACAGCCTGCTGTGCAGTAAGCTGAAGAAAACCCTGCCAGCCCTAGTGGTGTTCTGCATTTTTTGCAATGTCCTGTGGGAAATCCCAGTAACACTGGGTAATGAAGCAGACAAGATTCCAAATAACAATCTCTGGGGTGCAAGGCCCATTTGCACAAGACATTGTTGCCGTGAAATTCAAAGCGGGGCAGCTGACAGTTGAACTTCCAGAATGGCTTGATACTAATATACCGTACATTGTCTGACTGAAATAAGCTGATTGCATGGCAAGAACCGAAAAGCACTTACCCAAACGAAAACCATTCTGAAACAAGAGTGTGTCCCCAGACGTGCTTGGACATCTGACATTTTATGAATGCCCTTTCAAACCATTATGTTATTTTTGTATGTTTCTGGTTGCAGCTGAAACTAAATCATGCATTTGCTGAATACAGAAACTGAAAGAGGTGAAAGAACCCTGAAATGCGCTACCGTTTGCCTGGATATCACATATTATCCTTGAGTCTCATGTTGTTGTAATCCACATCCCACTGGTTTCCTTTTTCACACTAAACTAGAAATTCTGCTCTCTTCAACAGAAAGCCTTACCCCCCAGCCAGAAGGCTTTGATACATCTTTCTGCTTGAAGTACTAATCTCTCACCAGAAACACTTTTAGAATTAAATAAGAATTCTACGACGAAAACAAGTAAAAACAATTGTGTACTTTTGTGTACTATCTGTGACTTAAGAAGAATCATGACTACAAGGTTATTCCAAGCAATTTTTGGTGAAGTCATCTGATTTAGACAGCATTGTTTCTATAGTACCACCTTTGTGAATGTTAAACAATATTTTGTTTGCAATATGCAATTAAAAAGGTTTAACGTTAACAAATTTTAGAAACATTGCTCTTTTTGTATGAAAAACAGCCTTAAATAAAGAGGCATTTTCAGAAGTAAATAAACAACCTGAGACTCTTATAGGTCACCCTAGACACAAACAGATGAAGGACAGATGAAGTCAGAAAATGACTTCCTGAACAGTCATGCCACACACACAAATAGTAGGTTCACAGGAACTGAGAAACTCTGCAATACAGAGCACAGCTGGCCATAGCTAGAAACTTTACAGTTGACTTAATAGGATGAACGTTTAGTTCAAAAGCGGCCAAATAGAGAAAAGTTTTCTGGAGAAAAGTACAGAGAAGTAATTGATGAAAACCTGCTGCTCTCTGCAAGAAAACTGAAACTGTAACAAAAGTTTACATTTCAGCATGACATCAACCCAAAGCACACAGCCAGAGCTACACTGGAGTGGCTAAGGAACAAAAAGGTTAATGTCCTTGAGTTGCCCAGTCAGAGACCAGATTGAAATCCAACTGAAAATATGTGGCATGACTTAAAGATTGCTGCCCATCAAGACTCCCCAAGGAACTTGACAGAGCTTTAACAGTTTAAAACAAAATAGTCAAATATTGCCAAATCCAGGTGTGTTAATTTGGCAGAGACCTTTCCCGACAGTCTCACAGCTGTAATTACTGCCAAAGGCCCTTCCTTCAAGTGTTACTCCTAGGAGGCAGAGACTTCCCCAATCATGATATTTCTGTTTTGTAGTTTTAAATATAAATGTTTGGTTTTTGTGAATGAGGGAAAAAAATCTTCATTTAAGTCCATGAAACTCTGAGTCTATGACAAAACTAAATGTGAAAAACAATCCGGAGGTATAAACTTTCTAGAGGCCATGTACTCACATATTTAAAAGAATAACTTTTTAATTTGTTATTCTTCAAGCAACACTAGGAATTACAGCACTTCAGAGAATGCAACCTGAGACTACACATCAAAAAGAAAGGCTTTATGCATTATTACTGACACTAACTCTTCTTAAACCTTGTGTCCTTGTAAAGCTCACCATTTTTCTTCAGTGTTCCAAAAGGAAGTTACGAGAAAAAATTACCTATCTGTCGTGCTGTCTGAAGCACAATTTTCAGATTTTCACTGGCCGCCTGTTGGTCTCTCTTCTCTAAATGCTGGCTGATGAACTGAGCAATCATTTTCCACGTGACGCCTTCTTTGGAGAAAGCTTCCTGTCTTTTCAGCCTTTTGGACTAAAAAAGAGCAGACAATATTATAATACTTAATCCATGTTTAAAAAGTTAAAAGTTAAAAAGAAACCAGAAGAAAATAAATGAATAATAAAATGTCCAAGAAGACGCACTTGCATATGAACAGTGTGCACAAATATCAATGTCTGCATTTTAATTGATTATAAAAACATTTAAAAATATGAATAAAGAAATGATTAAATAAATCAAAAACCAATAAACAAGTATCTGGTAGTTTGGCACTTGATAAAAGGCCAGAGGTTAGATAAGAAGCCAACTTCTGAAGGAAATGTTGAAGGAAAACTGGCACTTTTACTGTTGGGAAATAATTACTAGGTAAATAATAAATGTGGTACATTTGCATGTAGCCAAAAACATAGTTCTTTTTCATAATACTAACATAAGTGATCAATACAAAATTGATCTGGGTCAACAGTTTAGCCTCTGTTTTGTCTTAATACACAATAAATCATCTGAATGTACTTCTGTTTGGAGTTTTCCCCACTGAAGGGAAAGTAGTCAAGTATTTTAACTAAAACATGTATAGAGTCTCTTCTAAAAGATTTAACTCATTAAATGTACATAATATCTTTGACCCCCTTGAGAAAAAAACTGTAGTTATACTAATCCATAACTTCCAGTGGAATGCCACACAACATCAACTGTTCCAAAACAAAATGTTCAGTCATAAAGAATAAAATGCAAAAGTAAACACTTCTTTATTAAGTAAGGCTGTCATTCTTTTAACTTCATTCCTTCATACCTTTGACCAGTAAGACTAACACTAGTGATTTAACAGAAAGTAAGAGATAAGAGATAAGATCACTTTATTAGCCATATACAATTTCGTTCATTAGGAATTTGTCTTTTCGCATACCCCAGCTTGCTCTCCATGAGACAGACAGGCACACAGTCAGGGAGAGAGAAGCTTGGGGTCAGAGCGCAGGGTCAGCCATTTATACTGTGCCCCTGGAGCAGCTGGGGTTAAGGGCCTTGCTCAAAATCCCAACAGAGTGGGATTTCTCTGCCAACCGCGGGATTTGAACCGGCAACCTTCCAACCACAGGGACAGATCCTTAGTCTGACCTTATGAATTAGTGATTTGTGACACTAATTCAGTGGTGACTTAGTAATAGGGCCATTTAAAACATTATGTTCTTGCAAAACACCCACTAAAAGTACTGCATTATAATGTAAGGGTTTAATATATTATTAGTTGTAGCATTTATTAGTTTACAAAACCAAAACTGAGGACAAATTAAAAAATAAAAAGCATCCACAAGATGAATGTGTTTAACTGTAGAAATTACTGTTTCATCCTTGGAACAAAGTTATTTAAATTTCAATGCAAATGGGTCTGATGAAGACAGCATCAGCAATACCCATGTTTCAAGAATACTAACAAGAAATAAAAACCAGTTCTAAAATATTTCTGATTTCCAGAAATCCAGTTACTTCAGTAATGTTATTAGAGGAAAGTGTGATAAAATCTCAATTTATGAGCAACAGACTCAGCTTTAGTAAATATTGTCTAAAAAGTCACAATATTAACTAATTTTTTGTGATTCACCAAATGTTTCACTTCAGAAAGCACTCACCTTTAAATCACTGGGTTCTCCTGTGTAATCATCTTGCCTGCTGACATTTGAGAAGGAGCGCAGAGCTCCAGTAAGACGAGGTTGAGCCATTGATCCCTGACTCAATGATCCATAGGACGCCAAATGAGTTTCTGCCACAATCTACAAAAAACTGGAAGAGGAAGAAGAGATGGTTAATATTGTTTCACCGTTAAACACAGCAGCATTCCCACATTTAAATTACATTTGGCAATTCAAATTATTCCTCACAACTACAAAAAAAGATTTAATTGTTTAAAAAGGGGAGTAGCAAAGGTTTAGGACAAACACGCATTAAATACATCAGAAACTACTACTTATATATACAATTAAAAAGAAGAGAAACATATTTTAAAAAATGTGAAAATAAATAACGAAAAGAGACAAACGTTCTTATACGAAGTTAGCGATGTCACAGAAAACTAGGAAAATATTTACAGCATTAACAAGTCACGAGAGGAATCTGACTCCATTTACTTCACAGGACACAGAAAATTGGACTGATATTATCTTAAATGTCAAGTCTCCGATTTGCACTAGTTTTTCACCACAATGCTTAAGCTGGCGCCAATATATATATACATATTATAAAACACACTTCATCTTGATTGCTTTCTCTTGTATGTTAAATATGATATCACACACGAACGTTAATGGTTTCGATATTCTTTCAACCAAACAGGGATGAGTTTCGTTTTACAGATATTACAGTGTTGAAGTGACAGAAATGTTTAGTTATAAATGTGCCTAGCAATTATTTTTCAGAAAGAAGGCCTCAATCTAACAACTTCATAGATATCTTTACAAAAAGAAAATGTGGCATACTTCGTGAAAACACAAATGCGTACTAGCTTTAACATATATTCAGTGATTCAGTTGTCGTCAATACCGGTTGTAGAAAAGAAAAAAGTTGGGGATTTACACAACCGCCATCTGTTTAGACTATATGTATGGTCATTCCACTCACTATACATTACATACAAGGCTTACACATGAATAAAAACAAAAATTAAAAAGAATTTAACATATGGAATCTGTACAGCCCGATATAATGAAACTCACTCAACCCACGAGATGCTGTTAAACTTGCAGAAGTGTACAGTTGGTCATTCTCAACAGAGGCTGCGCGACTCTCGTGAGGCTACCTGGGAATTGTATTTTTGTACTCCTTTGATGTCTATGACATGACGAAAACAGGCCACCAGTAGAGAACTACAATACCCAGGTTTATATCACTAGGAAGTAATTTGTGAATTTTAGCAAAGCCGACAAGGCAAAAATAGTAGATACTGGAAAGTGCTTGTATTGTGATAGCCTTAATAAAATGTTCTGTTTGAAAATCCGCGAACGGTTTTGAAATATGATCAAGGGTTCTCTGCATATGAAAACGGAGATTTTAGAAATTAGCTATATTATTCTCTCTGACAGCGGTTACTGAATTTAAAAATGGTGAAAATTTTGCACGAAGAAGCGAGTTGTAGGCGTGCTTAGGAAAATGTTATTAAAGCGTGCGAAACCACGTGTTGTAATGTCATTTCAGAATTACTAGTATATAAATCATTCGTTATGTGTATTTGTATAGCATTTATCGAATCGCATTAATGTTTGGTAATAATTTCAACTATTTAGTAGTTAATATGAAAGTTCAGAAGCAACCCGTAGTGCCTACTCTGCCTTTTAACCATGCAGAAGAATCAGACCGATGGCACCTAATTTTCGTTAAAGCTTAAAGGTATCCTGTTGTGGATTGTAAATGTTTAAAGCTACAGAAGCTATTTACTGTATGTATTCATGCTCGAAAATGGTCAGACGCGAAACTTATGTGGTTATCCGCCAAAGGAGAGTTCAGAACGATGTTTTAAAAATACTTTGCAAACGTACTGAATGTGAATTTGTAAAACTGATCTCTTGTGATCAATGTATTTTCATGGAAGATGGTCTGCAGCTAAAAAAAAAAAACTGGATTAAATCAAACCTTGCAGAAAATTTAGATTTCTAGTAAAGCTTAGTGACGAATTCAGTGTTTGTCAGTTGTACCCCTAGATTAAATAAGACATTGTAGATAAATAGGATAGGACTCGATCTTTCAGGTCAATTCATTTCCTGGAATCGTCTCATAATACTACAGTACCTGAATTGAAACTCTCCCTGAACTTGAATAGGTACTCCTGAGACATTATGATGTCGATAACAGACATTTTGATTTTATTTTCTATATCCCGGCTTCATTTCTTATTCACATGCTTTTCTATTGTGTTGTAATGCCTACATTTTTTTATGACCAATGCATTTGGGGGTAAACAAGAAGAAGGGCCCTGTAAAACTGTATCTTCCACGCTGTTATTGTTTCTGGTAGAATAGCTGCGTTGCCATTACAACCATTAAAATTTTAAACACAAAAATGTTCTGTCTCAATGCCTTACATCAAGAATACAAATGCAGCAAACACAAGAATCTTACCATGTGACCTTATAGGTGCCAGCCAACTGTTAAATGTGAATTGCATCTAGGGAAATAATGTTCTTGTGTGTGTGTGTTTTTTTATCCTGCCTGGATAGTACTTATAAAAAAATCAAGACATCAACATATCTGCATGCGGAAATAATCCATAATACAATATTGTTGAATTATGTTAATTGAAATATATGTTGCTCTTTTTTTTAGTTTTGATTCCATGAAAATGCACTGTTGCATTCATTGAAATGTCATCCTAGCATTGTACTCAGTATCACTGAGTTATACTTTAAGTTTCACATAATTGCAGGGATTGCATCTGTTACAACTGAGAAGAAAAAATTCTACTTCCAGTCCCTGTATTTAAAGATCTTATTGATACTACATACATGAATTGCATATATCATAACTTAAAATGCAATGGACAGTCATCCCATCCAAGGTGCATCCTGCCTTACACCCATTGCTTGCTGGGATAGGCTCCGGCTCCCCTGCAATCCCGTATTGGATAGAGTGCTTAAAAACAGATGGATGGATGCTTTGCTTCAATAAGTTTGTATGTCTCATGTATTGCGTCATTTTACATGTAAATTAATCTGTTCCCAGAACTACCATCAACCACTTACAACCACTGGTGCTCAAGTGTTAGGCAAATGCCATTCCGGAAGTTTCCTCTGGAGCTACCTTTTAAATATGTATAGTACATAGGCTTTCTAATACACATAATAGAAATACTGTACACATAAGGGCATTGTCATTCTACATAGGAAGAGTGGTGGTGTATAAAGGCACTACCCACATACAAACTTGCCTGATGGTGAAGATACAATCTTCCATCTTTTCATATTTCTCACCTAACACCCCACACCCTATTCCACCCCACACACACTGATGTCAGGTATGTTCTCTCTTTTTTTTTAATTTCAAAACATTTTAAATATTTTTTCTTAATGTTTCTATCTTTGATTTTTCCTTTGAGGTACTATAATAATATATTGTTCTTAAAGAGCGAGCTCTTCAATGATGAACATTTTTCTTATTTATTCTCAAAATGACTATCAAACTCTGAAAACTTATGTCTGGTCAAAGTTCTGATTGGCTGTCTACTGTCTTTTTTCTACTTGAAAATCTTGAAAGTTCTAAATTTAAATTTTGCCTGTTTTAATCATTATAGGATGCCTGAAGTAACACAATGAAGTTATCATTAAGTTTTAACCTACAGTATATTTAGTTATCATTTCTATCTTCTAAACTGAATCTTCTAGTTAAGTAGAACTTCATTCTAAACCAAGTAGTGCATAAAGTTATCTGTACAAATGAAAATGCTTTAAAAGTCAGTAATGTTGTTTGAAAGTTAAATTGAAATACACTGGAATCATATAAAAAAGCCACTTTATAAGGGCATTAGCTTGTGGCTGAGAAAATGAATTTCCTAGATATGGTTAATTTGAGATTCATCAGTCACCCCAAGACACAAGATTAATGAGCTCTATTTTTCAATCAATTTGAATTATTCATTGTCATATCGTAAAACAATATGCTACACATGACTAAAGACCAAACCGTATTCTATAGAAAAACTAGAAGCACAAATTATTTTAAGTTGTTTATGGGGGAGTTTATAATGTTTTGTTAAACAATTATACAGAAACAAGATAGCAGCTATTTTTCATAACTTTATTTCTTAATGTAATTTTAATTAATCTCATCACACCTAACCTATTTGAATTTTCTGCTCCTTTATCTACTTGTTAACAGTGGACTTCAAGAAATCAGGATCTTTCAACAATATAACATGCAGAACAGACTTCAGGTGTTGGCACAAGTTAAAAGTTTGCTCTCCAAAGCTGGACCAAAGCTGGACCATAGAGCAAGTGGTTCAATTGTTCAGACCAGGATTAGCAAATGATAAGCTTTGAATTGGCCAATATCAAAATGATACAATCAGGCCACAAGTCAACATAAAGTTGATCTATGACTGTGGTTTTATTTAGTACAGTATGTAGTATTTCAGCAGTACCCCAATTGAAGATGGTGTAATCTTGTTTGATAAGACCATGGTGCAGAACATTTATGGCTGCTTCTAATTCCTTGTTTCATACTTGGCCTTAGGTTCCTAGTGGTAAACTCAGGCTTCATCACCAGTAAACACAGGAAACACAGACTTCACTGAACAGCCCAGCAACTCTTGTGAGCCAAGGAGCAACTTTCAACTTTCAACATGCCATTATTTTCGTTTAAAAAATGAATTAATTTGTTACTCTGTTAATTAATTAATTGCTCCTAACATACAGTATTCATCTGTTTTGCAGATTTGTGCAATTGTGATTAGACAACCATGTATTGCCATATTTTCCACAACCAGTATTTTGTATGTGAACTGGTTACATCAGAGGGTAAAGGTCCAGATTTTGGATCTTGTGATAAATTCCTTGCGATGCTTAAGCTTCTTTGTTGTTGAATACCGTAAAATAATGGGGAATAATGAGGGGCTGCCACTCCTATTATTTATTGTTGTTCCTGTTTCAGAGCAACGATGTGTCCATGTATTTACTTTGCTTTGTATTCTTCTTCAAAAATGTGAAGACTGCACATTTCTCCATGACCAATGACCTTGGAAAGAATAAAATGAAAACAGCTGGTGATACAAATATGAAATAAAACGTAAAATATATTGTAGGCTTATAAGCAATTATCAATAATGTGCAGTATTTGAACTGAGTATATGAGTTGCAAATGGTTTTGAATGCAACTCATACATTATTGAGAAATGTTCAGAAAGATAGCCCCATTTAATTTTGATCTTTAGCAATTGTCAATCATAATCATCTGTTTGGCAAAATGGCTGAAAGAGAGAGGCACTGCCAAATTTCACTGCCTGTTGTGACGTCATTGACCAACACACATGCTGGTTATTGTTTCAGCCAAGTTCTTTATGTAATCAACGCCTTAGCTGAACTACATAGACGCTTGATTATAATCTTAGCAATTTATTTTTCAACTAAAAAATGCAGTAGTTAAAAGACACTCTCCAAAACATTTTGTGGACCTCAGTTCCCTCGGCTCTAAGCTACTGCGTAGCTGTTTCTCCTGAGCTGTTTGAGTTATTGAATAGACAATGTTCCTTATAAAAATGTGCAATTTGACTTTCTTTGTATAGTTTGTTTATTCTTTACAGATAAGCAGCTTAGCTGTTCAGAGGGTACAAAGAGAGACCTGAATAAGTGAGACTAGTAATTAGAACAAGAGTTGTTTTTTTTCCATTTAATTTTAATCACTGTGCATAACAGAAACCTTAATGTGTGTCTATGTTTCTGAAACTCTGACTATTAAACGTCCAGGAAATCTTGGCTCCCGATACACTTTGAATGCAATAGTAATGTTCTCAAATAAACTGTAAAGGTATAGTTATTCCAGCTCTTAAGAGATTATTTTCACTACATTTAATTTAGTAACCAATTCTTTATTTTAATTGGGAAAATAACTATCATAGATTCTGTACCATCTGAACTTTGGACAAGATACATTTTATGGTCCTGGTTAGATAGAATATATAAAAATAGTGACACTGTAGTGCAGGAACTGTAGATGACTACTATACATCACCTAGCAATTTTAAGGGTGAACCTCCACTACACACACAGATCTTACAAGACAGTTATCCTACATAATTATTTTTTA